GCACTGGCAGGGGGGTAAGGGAGCACTACCTCCACAGTCTCCTGTGAAATCGTTTCTACTTTGGCCTGTTCCGTGCTCCCTAGATTTGCAGAGAATATATTCAAGAAAGGTGAAGAAAGAAGGAAAGAAAGAAAAAAAAAGATGCCTTAGCCAACCCTGAGTAAGAGGACAACAACAGTGAGAGTAGCAGTTGCTGGAAGTTTGGTGCTGCAATCTGCCATCCCCATTTGTTGATGGCACATGCCATCCTTCAGTTGGCATCCCTGCTGCCAGGAACCACCCCCTCCTTTTTCCCTCTGCAAGCAGTTAACTCTTCCTGCCCCAAAGCCTAGGATTTCTTCCCCACTTCACTCTTAACAATCTATGCAGCACAAAAATATTAGAATCAAAGAAAGTTAGAAGTAGATGGGGCCTGAGAGAGTTTTCAGAAAAAGAAAAGCAACACCTAGCCTTTCCCAGTTCATCCATGAGGTCATTTGAGTTTTGAGGAATGATGATCTGAAAGGAAACCTGCTTTTTACCTACAGCCAGGTCACAGCATGGTGTACATGCTATTGGCAAATTGACAATGATATATGGGAGTGGAACAGGACCAGAGAAGCCTAATTGACTTACACTAAAGAGAAAATCCCTGGGGAAGACCAGGTTTTGATTTCCAGCCAAAATGCCTCATGCAGATCTACACCGTGGTGGTTTACATGTTGTTCTGATGCTGAACTGGTTTCAGTGGAGCTTCCAGACTAAGACCAGGAAGAAAAATCAGCCAATGAAAATCCTATGGATTACAGTTGTCATGAGTCAGGGGTCAACTCAATGACAGCTAACGACAACAAAATGCTTGGAATGGTGTCTGGCACATTGTTAGTACCGTGCGTTAGTTGATGCTGCTGCCACTATTATTATTGCTATTAATTATTAAATTTCCAGATATTGAACTATATATAGATTTGTTTTAATGAGAAACCATACAATGAAGCTTATGTGGAAAGTTCATAGCCCTCAGCTGACAGTACATCAACTGATATTTTCCTTAGAGGACCTTGTTGACATTAGTTGCCGTTGCATTGATTCCAACTCCCGGCAACTCCGTGTAACTCCCGGTGACTCCGTGTATGTCACATTAGAACTGCCGTGAACTTTTGGAAGCCGATCACCAGGCCTGTCTTCTGAGGTGGCTCTTAGTGGATTTGAACCACCTCCCTTTCAGCTAGTAGTCATGTGCTTAACCGTTTGCTCCACCCAGGGAGTTCTCAGGGGACCTTAATTCTTGGAAATATTCTCTGTTGTCTTGGTTGAAAAACATTCTGCTTTGTCATTGGATCTGGCCAGGGTGTAGGGAGGCTAACTTGGTAGTTTCCTTTTATAGCCCCTGAAGGGGCCTTTGCCACCAGGGCTTACTTGAAGGAGCCATTGGTTTTGTATGAAGTGTGATTCAAGTAGTGTAATAAAATTGTGTGCGCTTGTTTTATATTTAAGGCCTACAGCTTCTTTAGAACAGTCTGTGGATCAAAGACAAACAAGGTGACCCCAGGTCACAGAAAGGCAGCTGTGTTCTCTTTCCCAAGACCTTTTCCTTACCCTGTCACCCCACCCCCATTTTCCCCTGCACAGATCCTCATCTCACAGAGTTTCAAGGTTGAATTGAAACTCCTTCATGATAACTTTGCTGAACCCTCTATTGTTCACAGAGCATCCTCTTATCTAAACTCTGTAAGACCATTGGGTCTGTACCATGTAGTTCAATGCTGTTTATTAACATTGTATGTGTAATACACAAAGAGTTCAATACAATGCCTGGTTCATGAGGCAATATGATTTATGCTTCACCTATTTTGTCTCATTTAATACAATACATCGTCTTACAGATGAGGAAGTTGAGGTACAGGGAGATAAATAAAGTCACACGTGTGAACCCAAATGGTCTCTGACGCTGGAGTCCCTAACCTCCTTAAATGTACAGCTTCTTACTTAGCATGGATAGTCTTTGCTGTCTTCCTACATATGTTAGCTTTGTCTTCTCAAGCAGGTTATAGACTTTTGTGAGCAGGTATCATATCTCATGTGTGTTATGTATGGGTACGCCTCTAGTTCCTAGGGTGGATCCAAGAGCAGGCTTTCCTGATGGGACGGCTACTGTGATTTCTGGAATGCTGTGAGTTCAGATTTTTCTAAATATGGACTCTCTCCTGGACCAGCTCCAGCTCTTGCCATAATGTTTGGAATGTCCTTTCTTAATGTTGGTGAATGACTCCTAGCTGTATAGAGAGCAGCCTCACTGGTTCCCTTGCCTTTGCCAGAAAACACCTTTCCCCACCAAGAGCAAACAGAAACAAGTTGGCATGGGCAGAGTAGAGCTGTTGTGTGTTGTGGAGTTGGTTCTGAGTCATACCAACCCTATATGACAGAGTACAATTGTCTCATAGGATTTCCTAGGCTGTATTCTTTTGGGGACACTATGTGGTTTATAATCAGGAAAAATGTGTGACAGAGTTATATCCTTTCACCATATTTACTCAACCTATGTGCTGAACAAATAATCTGAGAAACTGGACTACATGAAGAAGAATGCAGCATCAGGATTGGAGGAAGACTCACTGACAACCTGTGATGTGGAGGTGACACAACCTTGCTTGCTGAAAGTGAAGAAGACTTGAAGCACTTACTGATGAAGAGCAATGACTACAGCCTTCAATATGATTACATCTCAACATAAAGAAAACAAAAGTTCTCACAACTGGACCAATAAGCAACATCATGATAAACAAAAAAAAAAAGATTGAAGTTGTCAAGGCTTTCATTTTACTTGGATCCACAATCAGTACCCATGGAAGCAGCAGGCAAGAAATTAAAGGACATATTGCATTGGACAGATCTGCTGTAAAAGGCCTCTTTAAAGTATTAAGAAGCAAAGGTGTCACTTTGAAGACTAAGGTGCACTTGACCCAACCCATGGTATTTTCACTTGCCTCATAGGCACAGGAAAGCTGGACAATGAATAAGGAAGACTAAAGAATTGATGCCTGTGAATTATGGTGTCAGGGAAAAATATTAAATGGATTTATTAAATATTAAATGGATTGCCAGAAGAAGACATACAGCCAGAATGCTCCTTAGAAGTGAGGATAGCAAGTTTCATGAGCAATCTCTGGAGAAGGACATCATGCTTAGTAGGGAGTTGTGAGAAAGAGGAAGACCTTCAATGAGCGGGATTGACACAGTGGCTGCAAACATAGGCTCAAACATAGCAGTGGTTGTGAGGATGGTGCAGGACCAGGCAGCGTTTTGGTCTGTTTGTACATAGGGTCACTATGACTCAGAACCTACTCAACAGCACCTAGCAACAACAAACTTTAGGGAAGCAGACTGTCAGGTCTTTTCTGCTGTGGAGCCACAGGGGGGTTCGAACTGCCCACTTTTGGGCTGGCAGCTGAGCATGTAACCATTGGGCAACCCGAAAACCTGTTGCCATCTAGCTGATCCTGACTCAGTTGGAATCATAGGACAGAGTAGACTTGCCCCATAGGGTTTCCAAGGCTGCCACATCATATCTCCCATGGAGAGCTGGTTGCCTTTGAACGGCTGACCTTTCAGTTAGCCAAGTACTTAACCATTGTCCCACTAGGGTTCCTTATCGGCAGAGTTGTTGTTGTTGTTGTTGTAATGTGCCCCTGAGTGGGACCGACTCATAGTGACCCCTCCTTGGGTTTCGGAGGCAGTATCACTATGGAAGTAGATTGCCCCATCTTCCTTCCCAGGAGTGGCTGGTGAGTTTGAACCTCCAGCCTTCTGGTTAGCAGTCAAGT